ATCCGGATCAACCGACGTTCACCTGGCGGGTCAGGATCTACCATAGCATGATCTGCACATAAATCCGATTTTATCGCAGAAGCATATAAGATAACATATTCGCATATCAGGATTAATTTAGCATAATTAATAGAGCATAATCTATGCATAAAATGGCCAGCATTAAAGATAAAATAATATCGGAACATTTTAGAATAATAGACAAAGCCACGGACCTTGGTGATCGCATATTTCGTATATTTCTACATGATTCACATAATCTGCAGCATAATTCTAAAAAATTTATCGCATAATTTGCATAAATCAAATTGTAAGGCAGGCCGAATTTGGGTCTGTCGCACTAGAAAACGAGAATCCCTACATCGGGTCAACTATTAAAAAAACCTCAAATTTTCTGATAACCTTGCTCGTATTTTACGTTCGCTGGCTGTCTACCATACAGGTGATTTGTGGGTTGACCCACCTGTCGTTATCTGGGTGGCAGGTGATCGGAAAACACCCATCCGGGTCAAGCATTACTCTAAATGCGGACTCTTACCCGAATATGTGTTAAACCCTTATAAATACAATTTTCTTAAATAAGTTTAATATTTTTTCCACAAGTTTTCTATTCTAGTTAATAATTAAATTTTATATATAAATAAATAAAGAAATATTTAAGCCTAAACTAAACTTGGTTGTTCTTAAATAGCAGATAGTATATACAGTCAAACCCCTCTATCGTCACACCTTCGGAATACAAAAAACCGTGATTGTAAAGAGGTGTGACTAATATAGAGGTATTTTCTATATAGTTATAGTAAAAATAAACTAGCGTTCGACCCGTGGCTCCGCCACGGGAATTTTTTAAATACAGTCAAACCCCTCTATAGTCACACCTTCGGGATACAAAAAACGGTGATTGTAAAGAGGTGTGACTAATATAGAGGTATTTTCTATATAGTTATAAATAATTGGTAAAAATAAATTTGTAATTATACCAATTGTACAATTGTTTAATTATTGCAGTATTAAGAACACCTCAAATCGATATATACATAGATTATTTGTAACGGTTCGAATATGCTTAATTTGCTTCAAGGTCATAGGTATTTCAGTAACCACACAATAAAATACAAATATTTTATGCATGAAACACGCATAACAGTATACTCTTCCCGCACTTTTATTCATGAAATAGTTGGATAGAATCTAAATATAAAATAGTTTATGCAGTATTAAATTAAATTCTAGCATTCATCACTATAGATACTTATTTAATATTTGAATAATGACGTCAAATACGTCATTGACACTTAATTTAGGTTGTATTGGATATTAATACCATCTAAAGGTTAGTGTTATATTAACGAAATTAGTTTAAACTACGCGAATCTCTAAAATCTCTTTACCTTTGTGTTACTGTTTCGGACTTAATTTGAACACATTTATTTCGCAGTTCAATCGTATGACAAAGTTAGATTTTAGCCAATTATGATTAGACTAATGTATAATTGGTCCAGCTTAATTTAAAATTCAGCATTTATTACAATAAACAATAAATATTTGCTACTTAATGCATGCATCTCATTGATTATGTGAGTGAATATATTGCCGTAAGTGGGAATAGAATTTAAGTTGATTCGGAATTTTTAAGGTTAGTATGATTATTATTATTTTTTATTATTATTGTTTAAAAAAAAAGCGTGTAAGTAGAATTTCGTCAAAGAAACCAAATTTTACAATCTAACAATGAGCGTTCCTTGTAAAATTTTGGTATAAAATCTGATTTTTACTAACTCTAATTCTAACCTTAACTCTGACACAACAATAGTACAGATACGCTATTTTCTAAATATTTATTATAGATTTCTCCAAAATCAAAACTTGTGAAAAACATGGAATTTGAACAGTATTTAAAATCTGCTAATGATGATGCGCAAATTAATGTCGGAAATTGTTATCGAGATGGTATAGGTGTATCTAAAGATGAAAATGAAGCATTCAATTGGTATTTAAAATCTGCTGAAGAAGGAAATCCTATAGGACAATTTAACGTAGGAAATTGTTATCAAAATAACATAGGCATTTCTAAAGATGAAAAAAAGCATTTGAATGGTATTTAAAGTCTGCTGAAGGTGGAAATCTTGATGGGCAATTAAAAGTTGGTTCATTTTATCATAATGGTATAGGTATTTCCAAAAATGAAAAGAAAGCATTTGAATGGTATTTGAAATCTGCTAAAGGTGGAAATCCTAAAGCTCAATTTGCTGTTGGATTTTGTTATGATGATGGTATAGGTACTTTTAAAGATGAAAAGAAAGCATTTAAATGGTATTTAAAATCTGCTGAAAGTGGTGATTCTAGTGGTCAATATAACGTTGGATTTTGTTATAGTGAGGGTATAGGTACTTTAAAAGATAAAAAGAAGGCATTTAATTGGTATTTAAAATCTGCTAAAAACGGTCATCTCTATGGAATGAATTTCTTTTAATGCCGGAGGATCTATCTAAGACACAATAGCATTGAAGTCATTGATAAAACTTACACAGTCTCAATGGTCAATGATATGATCAAGGTCTCGACTAACTAAACAGTCCTTCAACGCCTTCCCTACCAATTAATATATACCATAAATAGAAGCAACGGGAATTGGTCTATCGTATGCTAAAATAGGAATAGCGTGAATCCGTTAATCATCAGTAAGACAATAAATAAAGACTATGACAATCAAACGGGAGGTAATTATAAGAAAAGATATCTATACTAGTAGGAAATAATACATATAAGGAAATAATAAAGGATTAAAAATATGTAAATATTGGGCGCAGAAAGTTACGGCAGTAGCAGATTAACACATGATCGTGTTGCAACATTTCCTTTTATTGGGCGAACCAAAAAAAAAACCCCAAATCGAAAAACGGGAAAAATAGAAAAAACGGCATTCTAAACTAACTTTGGTGCATTAATAAAAAATGTCGGGAAGGCAATTTTACTTCTACAAATTCCCCTAACCCAGTCCTAACCCTAAATTAAAGCGGTTCTACCCTAAAGTTAATCAAGTAACCAATAAAAAATAAGCGTTCCCTCCGTTTTAGACGTCCCATATAAAAGGAAATATCGCAACACGATCATGCATGATATAAGATCACAATTCTGGGATACTGATTTTCCCTCTAAGTACGAACGCCTATTAATCAGGTTTAATTCGAAACCCTTAATTTCAAATGGACTAAATTTTGAAACAATAGATCGGAATTCGGCTTTTGTGTATACATATGTAAATATGTGTGTACGTGTATTCAAATTTAATGTCACACAAGAACTTTTTTAATAAATATACTGTATTAGCATTATCGTTAAACGTTTATAATGATATCTGTATCGATTGACAATTAACGGTAATCGATTGACATTAACGGCAATCGCAAAATTTTTCCTGGTGGGGTATGTGACACAACAATTGGGCATACACCTAACATATCTTAGCCGCATTAACATGTTGGTTTATTTAAAATCCAATAGAAGAACGTTTAATCCAACGTAAAAATTAGGAATAAATTCCTTAATCGTAACTTTATATATAAGCCAAATATACATTTATAGAACAATAAAAAAAAAATTATATTTATGAAGTTATGCATTTTCTTCTAGAATTTAAGCCTTAGGTTACATTTTAGGGAGATTACATTTAGTGGTGCATTTAGGGGTTGAATGTATCGATACATTGGATATACATACTACACAATCGGTGATATAATACCGGCCCTGTGTAATATTACTTACCACGAATAGTAATATATATATTTGAAATGCACCTTTTTGGATCATAAGTATATACATGCATGCAAATATTTATACGTACGTACATCAACGATAAAAGAAAATTGATAAAAGACAATTATTTAATTAATTTAATTAGATCTTTGGAATTCAAACTTTGAAACGTGCTTATACAATATACAATATTAATCTGCAAGCTATACCTAAAAAATCCAAAATACAACCTTACTAAGATATTATGCAACAAACAAACATCCGTATTTATCATATAATAATCTACGCTGAAAAAAATTCCGTTATTTTGTAAAGTGACTTTGTCTCATTACTTTGTATAAGCTAATCGTCTAATTATAAACTATTTTATGCCCTTTTGATTATTATAAAATCTGTTATAACTCAGTTATTTGGTGAATAAATGTAAAAATGAAATTTGATTCATACGATTTTTTAGGGTAAGAATTTTTATTAGCGTTTGTAAACAATCTTTAATTCTTCAATTATTAACATAATTTCCTTTAAAACAGCTATCGAACTTATAAAGTAGTCAAAGTTAAAGAGTAATTTTCTATTTAACATTTGTAATTTACAATTTATTGTTGATAGCTATTAATATCATTGAATGCTACCACTTATCAGTCGTCGATTAGGGACTTTATATCGATTCTTTCAGTTAATAATTGTTGCATATATTATATATTCAATTTACTCGAAAGAACTTTATCTTAAGACGGTACTCTTTCCTTTAATATATACATAATGAGAACCACTTTAATCATTTGGAAGTCAATGGAGTCAATAGAAACGCACAAATTTTCCTGGTTTTTTTTTTTTTTTTGTGAAATTTTAAACAATAATAACAAGAATTCCTTCAAATTTATTAAATTTGATTTTTTAAAAAACTTGGTATATGAACTGGAACTATTTAAACGCATAAAAGATTATTTCATAATTCTGGGCTGAGTTACTATATATTTGTCACTGTCCAAAACTAACTTAATATCGACTGGATTATGCAGTTAACAAAATTAAATAATTAAAAAATTTCAGCTGATTCCAATCTCTAAATTCTTGTTATTATTATCGTTCAAAATTTCATTAAAAAAATTGGTGCATTTTTATTGATTCTAATCAAATTCCTTAAAATATTGATTTTCATATCATATCAATAAGTGAGGTGAGCTTGTGTTAAGTTATTTTTGGATAGTATTAACACTTTCACTCACTTATTTGTCTCATTAATGATCAAAGTGGTCCAATGTTTTTTGACGGCATTTATTCGATTTTAACCACTTTTAATGTTATTTACGCAGGAACCTCCAGTACCTGGTGCTGTACGAATAACATTGCAAGCCCCGCCTAACTTTACCATTCCTTCTTATTGTATTGGAGGAACGTATCCTTGCGTTTTTTGGAGCGCAGATTCAAGTACGTAAATGTTAACATTAATTTGATGTATTTTATATATTTTGATATTAACACTATTTACACTATATTTAAATTTTAATTTACATAGTACGATTCCCCGACGATGGGGCAGGTGTTGCGTTTTTCACCACAAGAGTAAACTCGATAAATTATGCTCCACCACCAGGTTGTGACTTTTTAAAGGCTCAATCACCGTCAGATCCGTGTTTCTTTGACCCAAAAGCTCCAAATGTACGTAACACTACACTTGTACCAATGTCTTATATCGGTGATATTGAAGATTATACTGTAAGTGTTAAACTGTAATATTATAATACTAAAAAAAATCAAAATCAAATATAATTCTAACAATCGATTACATTATTTTTTTTACTTTGACAATAGGTGATGATAGAGCATTCAGTAAGAGGAAGGATTACTTCCATCGCAATTCGTAATGGTTTATTGGAAGGTCAACTTATGTCTCATGATGGCAAACCACTGAAGACCATAACTAATGCTACAAGAGTGAGTAATTAATTTGTAGTTCTTTCTTTCATGAACATTACCTTTATTAAAAGACATTTTGATCTAATCAATAAATAGATGGCACTTAATCCTAATGCTGATGGTGATATTTTTACTATTAAAGAACTTCTTGATGCTGCTGGTGCAAAGTTGGATTGTATAATATCATTTTTTCAACATGTTATTTGGTTTAAATCAGAATAAAATGTTCTAATAAGAATATTGTCAATAATAATTATTTCTTTTTCATATCAAAGCTCCCTCAACGGCTCCCGGAGCTAAAAAAGATCAAGGCGAAGTTTACAGGACTTCTGGAATAGTTATCGTTATTGTGATTGAATACAAAAACAATGTATTTTTAATATTACCAATTTTATCAAAGTGATTTAGATATATATATGCATTGTAACTAATTCAATGTTATCAATTTTATTGTTAGCGCGAAGACATAACCTATAAGTATATACCTCAAGTGATTGACGGAAATGAATATAAAACAGTTGAACGAATTTATAATAGTACAAGTGGTTCAATTACATTAGTTGATAGGCATGGGTAAGTGTTAACATTAAAAGTTATTTATTACTGTACTTTATATTTATTATGCCTGTTATTATTGCTAAAATCCATTATTCATTTTATCAATAGTATTCGTTTTGTATTCCAGCAACATGGAACTATTGGTCAATTCGACCTTCTAAGTCTTCTTACGAATATTGTTGGAGGTTTTGCACTTTTTGTAAGTATTAGAACTTGTGATATTTCATTGTTATTTGTTTTATTTTTTTTATTTTCATTGTTTTTTTCCATGGTTTTAACATCTTGTTTTCTTTCAAATTAGAAAATCGCTGAAATGCTAGTAGAATTCCTTATGTTAATTATCCTTCCTGAAAAAGAATATTATCAAATTGCCAAATTCCAAGAAACTAATAGTTTTGATGAATGGCGTAAAAATAAAAAAATGCAAGAAAAACAGCTTTCCACCGATCCCAAGGCTACTAATGTCAGTAGAATTGATTATTATGATAATGTGAATATAGGTGGTAGTTCTAATACTGATAGTCATGGTATAAGTGCTGGTGGTTTTTACGGTAATAACACTGGGAATTATGGTAATAATAGTGCTTATACTAATACTGGTACTCATTATATCAACATGAATCATACTGGTGGTCACTACAATTATTCAGGCTAATATATAATAGTATAGTAAAAATTAGTTAATAATTAATTTCTCGCAATTTATTCATCATTCAACTATATAAAAGGCATTTAAAAATAAAAATAAATTCATTCATTAGCATGTAAATCGTTAATTTACTGTGTTGCGTTTACAGCTAATTTAACGGACTGACAATTTAATAACAAACAAAATCTTGTCAATTAAAAAGGGGAAATTACATATAAACGCCCGAAAAATGAAAATAATTAAAAACAAGGATCCAAAATGAAAATAATTATATATAACAGATAAAGGGCCCAAAATTTTGAAAATAATACAATCAACAATCGTAACTAATTAGATTGTATTTAAAATTAATCTTCTTTTGACAGCAAAACGTATTACTTTTTGATCAGCATTGCATTTATTCTCTTAGCGTTTTGCATGTAAATATTATAACTACTTTTGCCAATTTTTGAAAGTAATTTAACTTTTTCTACGAATATAAATAAGTTTTGTTCTAAATATCTTCGATTAGCGCGTAGTAACCTTCACAATGTGATTCACTAGTTTGAGTATAGGATAGCCATATTAGTTTAAAACCGAATAAATATTAAAATATTGATAAATATCGTGCATAATCAAACTGTATCTTGGTTAAGTAAAAATTTTATTAAGCAAAAGAATATAGTTTAAAATGTATAATGTAATATTTATATCGGTTCAGCTCACTTCACCGACACTTATTTCGTAGACATAACATTTCACCGACAACAATTTACCGACATTTTATTTCACCAACATTTATTTTCCATTTCACCGACAGTTTATTTCACCGAAACTCATTTCACCGACAAGGTAGGGATGGACAAGTCCGGTTCCAGTCCGTCCGGTCCTAAAAAGACCGGTCTATTAATGTTTTCAGTCCAGTCTCGGTCCCAATAACAGTCCTTAATGATTTAATCTTATTGGCTAGCGGAGAAAATCAAATCATATGACGTCTGAATTGAAAATAAAAGATATGTAACATATTTTTAATTGGCTATTTGAATTATTCTTGAGGACCGGTCCAGACTGGTCTCAGGACCGAGGACCAGTTAACCATAAGACTGGTTAAAAAGACCGGTCCTTATTCGGTCTTTTCAGGACTGATCCATCCCTACGACAAGATAATTCTAGTCATTGTGTTAGGGTCAGGTTAGAATTAGAGTTAAGGTTAGTGGAGTTTGTAAAAAAAAATTTGTCCATGTAATGAGCTTCGGTAAAATAAACTGTCAGTGAAATATACTTGTTGACGAAATAAATGTCGGTGAAATAAACATGTCAGTGAATTTTTGTTGGAGAAATATTATGTCTACGAAATGAGTGTTGGTGAAATGATACATATCCATAATATATACATATATATAAAGTGATAACGTTCAAAGAACTGCTATCATCATAACGCAAAATTATTTTGGCCCTTAATTGTAAAATTTCAAAATTTGCCCTTATATGTCATTATTTTCACTTTGGATCCTTATTTATAATTTTTTATTTTTTATTTTTTAAAGAGTGGGTGCTTTTCTGCTGTAACTTTATTAAATAAACTGTACAATTATGGTTACAACTTTTACAACTTATTATTTTTAATGTTACATTAGATTAGGACTAATTTATCCTTGCACCAAATCTCTACCTAGTAAGGTTGTACCTTATTAATATTCTATATATATTTCTCACATTACTCACATAAGCCACAAATATACTTCCAAATAGGTATTACAACTAAGATCTTATAACTGGGTTACTTCCTAATTTGGGGATGTCTAAAGCGGGGAGATTATAAATAAATATTTATTGAATTAACTTTAGGGTTAGGGTCATCTTAGATTAATGTTAGGTTAGGTTTTAAGTAGTTATATATGCAAAATTGCCTTCCAAACCTTTTTGCTTAACCTACCCAAGGTAAGTTTAGCTGCCGTTTTTTGTATTTTTTAGGGTTTTCATTTTTCTTTCTTGTATTGCTTTGCCAGTGATCATCAAAATTCTATAATTTGATTGGCCAATAGTCGCATGATTTTTCTCTGCTTTAGAAACTACTCAGGATTACTGCAAAAGTATCGATTTTGATAGATCTACAGTAGCTTTTTTGATAGATCTACAACACATACTAAATCTATATTACGT